AAGGAGTTTACCCCAGTATTATCGCGAAAGAATCTTAGATTTAAACCACCAAGGACAATCTCAAAGGGCAATAGCACGAAGTTTGAGATGTAGCGTRGGCTACGTGAATAAGGTTGTYGCCTGCTATCAACACAGTAATTCTTCGTTCGCTGTCCCGCGTCATACCCCTTTCAGAAATGTAGTAACGGAGGATGTAACAGAATATATTGAAGTCGAAAAAAACTGCAAACCAAGCGTCTACATATCTGAAATTCAGCAACGTTTGCTATTAGACGGTGTTGCTCCTCCGAATCAGATTCCTTCTAAGAGTGCGTTAAAGAAGTCCTTTCGAGAAGATTGCGGTNATGAATACAAAGTAAGGAAAGTAATATATATATATATATATAGTAAACATAGCACGTGAATATGTTGTTATAAAGTTACAAAGACAAAGAGAGAGCTAAGTGTTTGACTTGTTGATTTAACGATGGTCGTAGCCATTTGATATGCATCGCTTCTTTGATCTTAATTTTGTATTCTGTATTATCAGAATCGATAATAGAAAAGCATTCATTATTCACATTCTCTCCGCATTTAGTGTTATGTATGTGCTTATACACGTGTGAGGATTTATCTCCAAATAAATGTTCTTTCCTGCGTGTTTTGAAATGTCTAATCGTTTGACCGACATAGCAAGCATTACAGCTTGCACAACAGAATTTATAAACAACGCAGGACTTCAATTCCTTGGGGATGTTTATTCACTGTGAAAGATCCTATCCCCAAGGAATTGAAGTCCTGGGTTGTTTATAAATTCTGTAGGGGTGATGCTTTTAAAGGTATACGTCGAAATTTCCTTCGACCTGAGAATTATTGGCGCCATTTCTTCGATTTGGCACACTTTCTCCCAGTTCCTCTGACTGAACTGGGCAATCTGCTCATATTTACGAAAATCCTACAAAAAGCGAACGCAAAATGCATGATTGTCTATCTCATAATAAGATATTTTTTCATTGCAAAAACTTACCGATATATACGGAAATCTGCTTTTATTGTGACTTTTCCACAGTTTGATCGATTTTTCTTTCGATGCCGCGGACCTCGAGATAATATCCTGGAGATTTACGCGCATCAGGCGCACCGTATCCATAAAATTCGGTGTTTTGTATTTCACATATCCGTCAGCTCCTGGTGGCTTATAACCAAGAGGCGCTGGAGCAATTTCGGGTAGAGAGTTCATGGCTGATGTCCTCGTGTATGAGCGATCAAAGTTACTCAAAGTGATTCATTTATCACTGAATTCGCGGTTATGTGATAATGGATGCGAACGTCATATCCGCAAGCTATCGATTTGTGAGATAATTACTCTGTCGAGTTATAAAAACAAACAAAATAAAGTTGATCCAGATCCACTTTTGTATAGCCACATTTTTTTATAAATATAAGTCCGAGTTATAAAAAAAGAGAGAAGAAATTAATACGATAACAAAAGGGTTTAAGAACTCATGACAACTTGGGTGGTGCACTTATTTCCGATTGTTGAGACCACAAACCCTGACAACGAGATGGAGAAGATGTGAGCTTCTTGTAACAAATTCTCTGTAGGAATACACATCTTACCATTGATCAATGAATCGTGTTTTTATTTTTATATATAAATTTGATGGTATCAAAGTAGCGCTAATGTTGACAGACAAATTGATAATACAGTACAAACACTAACACAACAACCGGCCACTCCCACAACACTAATTCGCTTTTGAGAGATATGATATTCACTATCAGCCAATGTCAATGGGACAAGGCTCCATTAGGTTAGACGGCGGGAATTTCAAAATCAGTTAAACCAAAGTTCATGTCAAGAGACTAGAGTAAACTCGCGAACTAATTGAAAAAGCGCCTGTATTGAATACTAAGTAGAATCTTTCTCCCGGTCGATTAATACTTCATTAGAACAATAGACCAAGAAGAAAATGCAGCTTTCAGTCACTGGAAACACCAGGAAATAAAGTTTATAGTATGTTTGGCTGTTGGAACTTGTGAGCTGCCGCCAAAACTTGGTCGCGAGACTCTTCGTGAACGTGCCTAGTGGTAAGTCAATTTTTGAACTGAAAAATGCCACTTATATATTCCTGATAACAATTACGACTTTTTTACTCGGTATAGTTGAATGTTTTCTTGCCCTTTTGCCCCATCACCAGAAAACATCTAAATCTAAAAATAACACGGTGCAAAAAACGAGTTGCTACTGACACTCTTATAATATATAGCAAAAATTTATTTTTTCCTTTTTCAACAGGGACACACAATATATATAATCATAGTGCGAAGCCATAGTCACCTGTAACCATATAATCATTCAATGTTGACAGATGGAATCTGACACCGATTGGAGTGACAATGATCACGATTACGATACACGATATTTCACTGACGACGACCTTGATGTCTGCAGCGACGATGATAATGGTGAAAATGATAATGAACAAGACCTGAATCAAAATCAATATACTGCTGAATCTTTCAAAGAGGCACAAAGCACCACCGAACATAAGTCGGTCAAAAAAAGTCGTCCAAAAAAAGTCGTTCAAAAATGCAAAAAAACAAAATAAATCTAGCGGTACATATTTGCACCATCTGCTGACCGAAAAATCAGACTGTTGTCTACAGCAGTGTTTAATACAGAAATTATCCCCGAAWGAAATCGAGGACTGTCTAAAGCACTTTTGGGACATGAATGAGGAAGACCAGAGAAGATACATTCTCGACTTCCTTTACCAAAATTGCTGTAGGAATAGAATTTCAAAAAGAGTAACCTACAGTTACCGATTTGCTGGTAAAGATCTCTGCCAAGACGCCTGGAAAAAGATACATGGCATTAGTAATGGCAGGTAAATTTTACCAAGATGTGCTTTTTTACTCGTCGACATTTGATTTTATGACCCATAATTAATATTTTTTGTAATTTCGCTAATCAATTGGACAAAATCATCATCCTAGACATAATTATTTAAATCGTTCATGTTGTAATAATCTTGTTATTTTCCCTTCACAGATTTCACAATCTACGCCAGGACTTCGAGGCAGGACGAACTTCCCCTGTCAGTGATAGAGCTGGTGTTGTCTTCAAATCAGTACGACACATCCAAGCTGAAATCTGGTTTGACGAATACATTAGCTTGATGGGCGACAGAATGCCCGAAGACGAAAAAGTCCACCTACCGTCTTGTACTACAAAACGCCAAGTGTATAACGAGTATAAGGATAGTCAGGAAGTCGTCACTCCTTTATCTTATACTCAATTCCGACGAATATGGGAGAAAGACTATCGCCATGTCACTATACCAAAAGTATGCTATACGGAACCAAATTCTTTTAACAAAAATATGCTTCGCTATAAATCACCGCCACTAAGATTCTTCATTTGTTTTAGATCAATAGGTTTACCAAATGTGGTGTTTGTACTCTTATTAAAGAAAATCTCCAAAAAATAAATGGCAAAGAAAGACGCACAACCTGGCTAGAAAAAAAAGAAAAGCACTTATTGCAGCAATCGTAAGTGTATTTGCTTTAAATTGAGATTATTACAGTATGCGAACGATTGTACCGAATGTTATATTATGTGCAATGAACTGTCACTTGAGACGACTGTTAATACACACCAGCAACATTTTTTATTTACTAATTTCGGTTCAGATCGATAAACCTTTGTTTTCTTTAAATTGCTATTACAGCATGGAAAGAAAAAAATACAATACCCATCAAGCTAAGGCTCAGCGATTCCCCGATAAATACATCAGCATAATTATGGATGGAATGGACCAAGCTAAAACACGTTTGCCTTACTTCCATATTGGTTCAAAGGTGGGCGATAAAAGTTTTTTTTTAAATCCAGAGTATTACGTTTGTATCTTGTATTGTGTCACGTGGGAAGTAAAACACACAAATTTGTTAACTTCATTCATTAATTACATCACTTTTTTTATTTCTAGGCGGAAGGTGAACACAGTGGATTTTTAAAAGTTCACGTAACCGGAGTTTTGTCACATGGAAACAATGTTGCCATGTGTTTTCTGGACTTGATGAGGTGGCCCCATGACGCGAATGCCACAATGAACTTCATGCTAGAGACCTTGCGCAGACTAAAGTTGAAGGTATAATCAATGAAGCACCTTACCGATTCGATGTTTCTAGACGCAAAGTGCAACTATGCTGTTAACTATACTTATAAACTATACTTATAAAAATTATTATGTCTTTATCCTTTTTAATTTTTTTTTGGGGGGGAGGGGGGGGTTGCTTTAATATTTTTCCTTCAATGACCTACGATGTTTCACATTACAGAACGGTAAACTACCAGACACGTTATATTGGCAAATGGATAATTGCTACCGAGATTGTAAGAATATCTATATTCTTGCTTTTTGTGCCTTGTTAGTAATGACTGGCGTTTTTAAAAAGGTAATTATTTCATGGACTCATAATGATAAACTTAGAGGGATAGCTTTCATTGTTACTTGTCGGCAAAAATCGTAAGCGTTCCCCAAGGCACTGACATAAGATTTGTAAATAAAACACAAAATAATAGCAATCCTAAGTGACTGCAACAGCATAGTGCATTACTGGTCAATAACCCTCTTTTTGTTTTCTTGATAGGTGCGCTTGTCGTATCTTATTGTAGGACATACGCATGAGGACGTAGATCAGGTGAAATCTCACACTGCCATTTATAACATTGCATTACTAATCAATCTTACTACCAGGGGGACTACCAAATTCAAATTAGCTGAATATTTCTGTACTGTGCTTAGTGTGATGTTTGTTTATTCTAGATGTTCAGTCGCATATCCGTGGCTTTGCGTCACTCTGACGCAAGGACTATACCAGCCCTGAGACATCTGGTAACAGGCTCCTACACACCCAATCCCTCAACAGTATACGTGGAAAACCTCTATGACATCAAGGGATGGATGAGTCCGCACTTAGGTAAACTGAAATACCATAGTCGGCCTCATGCATTCCGGTTCAAAACAAATAGAAATGGAAATGTGTGCAAGCATTACAAGCAGTTAGCACACTCCGATCAAACGTGGAAGGGAAAGAGCTGGGATATACTGTCTTAAAAAGGATCCCACCCGGTATCCCAGCGGTCCTAAGACCTGACCATGATAAGTGCCCCACCGTGGATGCCATGCGTAATCACATTGACGGTCTGACGACTCCACTGACACACGTTGAAGTACTCTGGTGGCAAAAGTTCCTCGAGCTAGAAGAACACAACCGGTCTATGTGGTTACGCATGTCCGATGAAGACTATGAAGCTGGTAACTTCAAATTCTGTCTTCCTTGGCTAAAACAAGCAGAGAACGACGAAGAGGAAAAGACACCAGTACAAGAAAGCAAAGATGTGCTCAAATCAGAAGAAAATCTAATTAAAATGATGAAGAAGACAACTGAGCATATTCCAGTATGTATAAAAACACATACGCAAACAGACAGACTTGATAACGTTTCATATGAATCTACCATGACGAGAACTTTCGTAAAAAAATAATTTTATCATAAAAAAATTAATATACCGTGCTTGGTATCGTTTGAAATTTTAAAAGTTATCTATAATTATTGGTAGCGATTAAAGATTCATATTATTAAAAGAAACTTCAATTTATATTTTCAGATTCAGGAAGTAAGCCCAAAGAAAAAGGGTCGTCGTTCTTCAGGAAAAGAAAACGCAAACAAAAAAAAAAAACAAAAAAAGTAGTAGTTAAATTGTTAGACTGATTCCAGTGTCAGCCAAAGGACATTGGGCGACAAAAAAGAATTATCAGCGCCCTAAAAGACATATTGAGAGCTGAATGTTATTCTAGGATCACTTTACTTTTTACAATCACATACGAAGTGTCTCTGTGATTACTAATTATCAAATCGTTTGGCGCCAACCAGTCCGCTCCAAGTCATGAGCAACAAAAATAAGACCGATAGCGAGCTGGAACCAGCTTATGGAATCAGTGTAAAACTGCCGGAACGTTCCGGGGGTTTTACTATTAGAATACATGAATAAGAAAATAACATCAATTATTACAAGTTTCAGAAAACCTCCCGAAAGACTATATTGAGGAGCAGGGCTGATGTGAAGTGATTTGCAGCCCGCCAACCCACTACGCGCGCTTTTTCAAGAGTGCATTTGTTACTTGGCCTTGTATATTGATGATAATAGATAATCGTGCGACATAAAACAAGGACTCATCAGCTCCTTGAAAAACATATTGAGAGGTGAATGTTATTTTGGGATCAATTTACTATACAATCACATAAAGAAGTCCCTCTTTGTGATTACTAATTATCAAATACAACTAGACGCTCTCGGAGCGTGAAGTCGGACTAGCTATTTTTGAATGTATATCATGGCGTAGAATATTATATTTTTTACTTCTAATACATAGCGAAAGCAAGAATGCGTGACCGTTTATTCACACGATACGATATTCTATTCGACTGCTCTCTGCAACGACTTCAAAACGATAGAAATCTAAATTTTGACTAAAAGGTCATGTAATTAATACTTAGAGACTATAGATGTCTCTAAGTGATATCATATCTAATACGTTTTTAATTCAAATTGTTGACCTCTCAGGCCAAGAAAATAAATACTTTTAAAAAGATGCCTCTAAAATAATCAAAGTCGCCTTTTTGTTATTGATCAACAAAGTTTCTTCTTGTTCTAATTTGAAATCTTTGCCCAAACAAGACTGTCTAGCGCTAGAATTCAGTTCCGTAAGCATACTACCTCGAAGCTCCATGCGATCCGCATATGCGCTTACTTCTGATAGCTAGACTGATGCATTCCGATGAGATCACAGATACCACATTTGTAAACGAATATTTTTTTATTCACATAAAAGCGCAAGTAGAATCTGACATTTACTAACGATATATTTGTCACATCTATACG